GTCCTCAAGTAACTATGTACCAAGTTTCATTGAAACGTGATCATTACTACTCAAAATATCAAAAGCTGAAAATTAATTAATTATGCAAATTAGGTAATTAATATGTACTGATATTAGCCTAAAAACTATCAGGTATGTGCAGTGTCCCAAGTTTTATTGAAATGTTATGATTAGTACTTGAGATATCAGTGGAAAAGCCGAAAATTGATTAATCATTATGTAAATTAGGTAATTAATAATATTAACAGATTTTTACCCAAAACTAATCAAATCTGCGCACTAGTTCAGAGCATCCATGTGCCAAATTTCATCAAAATCCAATGAGTGGTTCTTCAGATATCAGTGGAACAGTCTTGGAACAGCTAAAAATCAGCTAATTATCATGCAAATTAGGTAATTAATATTCATAGATTTTTACCAAAACCTAATCAACTCTGCGCATTATCCCAGAGCATCTATGTACCAAGTTACATCAAAATTTGATTAGTGGTTCTTGAGATAACGGTGGAACAAAAAAGTGACATACATACATACATACAGACAGGGTAACTGCAAAGACTCCCTTTTGTGCTTCGCACACGAGAGTCAAAAACTGTATTTCTTATTGGTTGGCAGCTTACAAGTCATGCTATCATTAGCATATTTATCACCACAAAAACTATAGAGGGCGAGGAAGAACAGACAGTCGCGGTAATTTCGCATAAATGTGGAAGATTCTAAAGGGATTATCATATAAAACAATAAAATTGCAATGACTGGGCCTGTCTAGGACAAAAAATTAAAGTAAATGAACTGGTCCAGAATAGTATCTTATGTGTGTTCTTCTGTTATTTTCAGGGCAACTAACAATAGTGCTCATAGAGTGGAATATAAATTATTAGATGAGATATATGCCGAAAGAACTGCTGAGTTGATGACTACCACTATGATTGACACTCCATTAAAACAATATCTCAATGTCTCACCAAGTATACTTCATCAATTCTACCAAATTCTCGTCAGTAGAGCGGTTGA